CTTCTAGGTTGGAGGCCATCGCTTCTAGGTTGGAGGCCATCGCTTCTAGGTTGGAGGACATCGCATCTAGGTTGCAGGCCGTCGCTATTACGTAGGAGGCCGTCGCTTCTACGTTGGAGGCCGCTGTTAGGTTGGAGGCCATCGCCAGTAGGTTGGAGGCCATCGCTTCTAGGTTGGAGGCCATCGCTTCTAGGTTGGAGGCCGTCGCTTCTAGGTTGGAGGACGTCGCTTCTAGGTTGGAGGCACTATTAAGGTTGGAGGCCATCGCCAGTAGGTTGGAGGCCATCGCTTCTAGGTTGGAGGCCATCGCTTCTAGGTTGGCGGCGATCGCTACTAGGTTCGAGGCCATTGCTAGTAGGTTGGAGGCCGTCGCTAGTAGGTTTGAGGCCATCACTATTGGGTCGGAGCCCATAGCTATTAGGATGGAGGCCGTGGCTATTACAGTAGGTTGGAATAGGTTGGAGGCCATTGCTATTGCGTATAGAACTCGAATCACAGCCCAAATGAACGAAGGTCTAAAGTTCTCCTGGCATTGAGAACTTCTGTCTCATGAGTCGACTGGCCGGCAGGTCCCCCCACCACACCATCTGATGGGCCGCCCCATCCGGTCGTCTTGGTGCTAATCCGGTGCTAGCGCTCGGCTTGCCATTTGGTGCCATATCATGCCATTTCACCAAAAGGATGACCAGCGTATGCCAGCATGATGTTGTGTGAAAAGTATCGCCAGGAGAACGTCTACAGTGTACACCCACCTTCCATGTGTCGAAGCATGTTAGAAAAAAACAAAAGGGAGCTCACATGACAACAGCAGCAGCTGCTGCTCAGTCAAGAACCAGTGCATACATCCTCGAAAAATGTGCTGAAAAAGTTTACGAACAACAAGCGCCAACAGTATGAGAGTTTTTCACAGCTGTGGCAAAATCATCCCGGGTTCGGTGACTGGAAACGTTTCGACCCCACCTACTACCATGTGTGTTTGAGTAGTTTCTTCCACAACATGTGTGCCTGGGACCTACAGATTAACCCCGCAAAGGTGCACGCGATCTGTTTGGATCCGGACTTTCCAGATGTGTAGCACCCACGAATGCTGTTCACTGTCTTAATACACTGTCCACTCACGAATGCTGTTGACTTTATGTCGTTCTATGAAAGCAAAAGCCGATGATTTTTGAACGGTGGCTCCCCCCGGTGTCCCTTGCGGTGTCCCTTTAAGGGCGCCGCTGGTCCAGCAGAAGATCCCGCTGAACTGCAGGACACTCTCTTCACCGTCGGGGTGGGCATAGCACATGAGCGGAGAGAAGCCCACGTTGGCCATGGTCACGAAGGTCGTCTGGCAAAACATGCCCACCTGACGGTGGTAGAAAAGCATTGAGCCATGAGATGTTTCTGTCAGACTGGAGGATTGTCCTTTTGACACCGGAGCTGCGGAGCTGCTTTTTTGCGAAGGCACGAAGTCTTCTCAGAAAGGAGTTTTTGCGGCTTGAAGGGCAGCAATGGCTGACAAGAATCAGGTTTCTCAAACCCTGCAACAGGCCATTTGCATCAGTTCACAAGTAGCCCGAGAATTCTGCTCTTAGGTTGGAGGCCATCGCTTCTAGGTTGGAGGCCATCGCTAGTAGGTTGGAGGCCATCGCTACTAGGGTGGAGGCCATCGCTAGTAGGTTGGAGGCCATCGCCAGTAGGTTGGAGTGTTTTGCTTCGATCTATCCCCAACCAGGCTGTTACTCAGCGTGACCACTTTGCTGGGATACCAGGTATTCCTAGATATGTCAATTTAGTCATGGGTGGTGTTGTTTCGCTGCTGTTTGTTCATGCTACTTGTTGTTGGCGTTGCGGCGTTGTGGTCGTGGCTGCTCTTGCTTCTGCTGGCAGTTGTGGTTGGTGGTGGTTCCTGTTGTTGTTAACGCCCTGGTCCTGGTTGGTGGCGTTGGTGCCACTGATTCTGTTGCTGTTCTTGGTGCTGTTGGAGTTGCTCTTGTTCTCATGGAGTTGCTCTTGTTCTCATTCTGACTGCCGTCCAATCCGTTGTTGTCCTCATCCATCGTGGTGGGTTTCCTTACACACCAAGCAACCCAGATTGACGGATACTTGATCGATGACATGACTCCCAGAACTTCCGTGTTGACTCGTTTTCAACTCTGGAAGTCATAATCTTCCACCACGACCAGGCCAAGTCATTAAGGTCATGACTGGACTCTCGACATGTGCTTGAAACCCAAGTCAAGATCTCTTCTTCAGAACATCGGCACCTCTACCCCCTCGCAGACTGACATGGAACCTGAGAATTGACCAGTGGTTTCGACCCTTTTCCGAATACCAACCCAGCGGTTTTTGCGGGGTCCCATATGCTTCGATGTTACATGTCAATCTGCAGTACCGCCGCATGTTCCCATTTATCTAATGGTCGGAGCGTTCGCATGCGAGCGTTCGCCTGGTCCAGACAAGCGATTTGCAACGAACTCGGTGTGTGATTTTAAAACGGCAAACAAATGCAAGCCATGCGAGTTTGTTGATGTGTCCATGTTTTGACTCTTCTCCCTTCAAGCCACCATTGCACAGGTACCATGCCAGGTCCATCGCAACTGGTAGTCCCAAAAAGTCCTCTCCCCAAAGAGCCGGCTGAAGAGAGACATCACCTCAGCCGGATGCGTTCCGAGAGTCACCTCAGCCTCACCAGGACCTGCCGACCGGCCAGCTCGATCTTGGAGAAGAGGTCACACAAAGAGATGAAGAGGGAGGAGGGAGGAGGGAGGAGGGAGGGAGGAGGGAGAGAGAGAGAGAGATGCTTCCAGCTGAAACAAATATTTAGCATCATCTTTGCACGTACTTTCTCTGTGGCAGGGTTCATGGGTGAAAAAGTCCAACAAATGTGCTGCGGCGATCAATGAACAGAAGCTGTGTGCTCCTGAGAAGGGGGTGGGAAAGGACCTTCCTCCTCAAGGTTGTTTGTTGAATGAATGGTGTTATGTCTTGGCCTCCAAAAGCCTTCCCTTGCCAAAAACAACCCTTGAAAGGGTGTCTGGGCCAACACTGCTGGCTTCACCAATTGAGAATCATTTAACAGTGACAAAGAAGCAGAACAGCACAGTCGATGCGACATGTGGGGTGGATATCCTGGTTACACTTATCTTTCAGCCACCAATGTGCTAGGAAATGCCGGAATGGACTGCAGCACTAGCTGGAACCAAGGCAGATTGTAGGGATAGCTCTCATTGGTCTTGTCAATGCACCTATTCTTTTGATTCATACAAGTTCTGTATGTACTCTCACTGCACTGCATTTGTTGACACCGCATCCTGAGCCAGTTCACCACAATGACTATGATCACAAGGGGGAAGGTCGCGGCATGCCAAAAGTAGCGTTGTCCTGTGCTCGTTGCAAAACAGCCCACACCAAGTGTCTCCAGATTCCTTGGGAAGAACAAGCCAAGCGATCGAGAAGGTTTCCGAGAAACACATGTGCTAAGCCAACTGCATTGGGGCCAACTCTGCAGTGCTAGTACCTTCCAAACAGTATCGAGGGGTCATGAAGGCCCGTGCCTCATAGTTTTACGACCTGAATCAAACTTCTTCATGTACGAGACCGCAACACAAAGTGATTACGTGGCAAAGCAAGCGTGCAAACTGGTGCGTACACAAAGTTCTGGCTTGCAAGTTGCAAGGCCGTTCAACTACTATCAAGGTGGGCACAATACACGCAAAAACTCAAGCCCCCAACAGGTGTGTAGAAAAGCCTATATAATATATATATATACTGTTTTAGCTAGCTTGTTGTTTTTGTTAGCTTTTCGCAGTTTCCGTTTCCGCTTGCCTCTGCTGCCTCCCATGTTTCATGCCATCTCTTCTGGGAAAAAAGACCACCCCCAAAAACAAGCTATTAGTAGCAAGAAGCTCTTAATTAGTAGCAAGGTGCGCCTTACTCGTAGGGCATCGCTACGAGTCACCTCAAAGGGCATCGCTCGTCCACCTGACCTTTCGGACGCGACGAACGTCCCGGGGCGGCTCCGGAGGCTCCGTTGCACCCACCGGTTTCACCCGCCCCGCACCCGTGGTGTGGAACACCCGCCACCGGTTCACCCGGTTCCTCAGGTTCGGGTGTGCCAGGCGTCAGCGTGAAGATCTTCACCGAACTCGCCGTCTCGGTCATCAGGGCGGGCCATGCCGTGGGCGCTTGCGTGATCACCGACAGCTCCCTGACGTGGTACCGAGCTCCGGTGGACCCACCACGAAAAGCCGAAGAACACCTTGAGACCCTTCGTTCGACCCAACAGTTCTACACAATGAAAAGATCAAGTGCTTTTGTAAAACACACCAAGAGAAGGGGCCATACAAGACCAATTCAGCCATCCAAGCGTCTGCAAATAGTTCAGCACTTCTCCAGTCATGGAAGCTATCACGCTGGCCGGGAAGCCCTTTGCCACATAGGCGTGCTGCATGGGGTAGTAGCTGAGAAAGACCACGGGGGCGACAAACAGGGCACCGCCTAGGAAGTCAGGCGAAGGGGGCGCAAAAACAACCAAAAGCTGCTGAGGTCCCCGCGCCCCCAAACCGAGTAAAACGCCCGGTTTGGGAGACCAACTCTGTGTAGACAGACGTCCAAGTCCAAACGATCGAAATGACAAATGACCATCTTCAAAAAACATATGTCTAACCCAGGTCATGCAAGCAAGCAATTCTTGCAACTGAGACGGGTCAAACAAGCGAGTCGCCGTGGATACTCTTTGAAGCCGCAACTGCGACAAAAGAACAATTCTCCAATACACCACGTGGTTTTCGTGTCTTTGGGAGGTCCCATGTGGTTCGAGGGGGTTTCCGTGTTCATGGAAAGAACTGCCAGAAAAGATCTTGTTGCATGTAAAGGTATCACAATACAACTTCAAATGATGAGCCTACGTGGAGTCTACTTATTACACCCTGGCACATTTGAATGAATGGGCATGAATGGGCATGCAGGAATCTCTAGCTTTTCTACAGAACAAGACATTAAATATTATACAGTATATATTATATACAGTATATCCCCCTTATATACTACTCCCAGTGGTCTGCCGTGTGCATTTGATAGAGGGACAAGTCAGGGGGATTATATACAGTACAGTATATGTTCTGCGAAGATTCCTAGAGTCTCTACACAATCTTCCGGAGTCACCCTGAGATCTGAGCGTACCATTCTTTGAAGCCGAGGCACAACTGATGGCAGCTGCGATCGCAGCTTGATTCTCGGAGCATTGGACACATGGCTCTTCATTCGACCGGGCGAAGGTCCCAACCTAGGAGCAGCTAGTGAGCAGCTAGTGCTTAGCTGTTTAGAATGCGAGTAAGCAGTGTCGTGTGCATCAACCTTTTTGAAGAAACACACACAAAAAGAAACAAGATCGAAAGGCACGAGTGAAACCGCCAAATCAAAAATCACAAAGGAGAAATCCCACGACCTAATCGAAGGACACCAACTCCGTCCATGTCTCCAAGGTCATCGCGCGTGAGTCATGCGCGACACGTGGAAATCGACATGTTTTCGGACATTTCGTTTGTGCTGTTGTTCAATCTAGAACCCATTTGACCTCTGACTGTTATAGGGAAGACCATGTTCCAAAAGAGGTGTCACTCAGGTCCTAGGAATTTCGTTGAACCCTAAGTGGTCCCAAAAATCCTTGACAGGTCAACATCCGCCACCAGTCACATGAATGACTGGTCTTTTTTGATCATTTCATCTCCCGACCCCCTCGTTTTCGAAGCGAGGCCGGGCAACAGGACATTCCGAGCAGGTCCATCCCACACGGCCATTCATACATGTGCCAGGGCGTCCACCAGGGCAAGACTCTTGGCATCGATACACCTGTCTCAGACGTTGGTCCGACCCCAGCGGCATGCTGGTCCCCCCGCGGGCGATGAAAGCACCACCGCGCCAAGCGCGGTAAGCGCCGCTGCGATCTGATTGGCTGAAATAACTTTGAATGCGCAACTTGGTGATGAAAACACAATCCCAAGAACAACAGCCGGCTTCGGAAGAGGCCACTAAAGGTCTCCTCTCATTACAAAGCAGTTCTGACCCCTGACAAGTGTCCAGTGTTCACGTGCCTATAAATCACCCAAGCAAAACGAGCGTCGACGGTGGGTCGAGCTCCACTCTTCCCTCCGTTCTCGACTGCCCTGTGGCCTTCAAGGGTCGCTCCGGAGCACTATTGAAGCTCGGCTGCAAGACCGGTGGGTCCTGACCTTCGGTGACATTCTCCTGCCCAAGCAAGAGTGCCACAGTGCTCCCTTTCGGACCTCAAGTGGTTCTTCCACGGCACTCCATGTTTCAGCAGACAATGATGCGACGATGTCTGTGGCACGTGGGGGGTGGATGTCTTTACAGTATATGTTTTGATTGTGGCCATGAAATGTGAACAGGGTGAAACCACTAAAGGAATAAGTTGGTTAAAAAAAAAGTTCCTCTTGGAAGATCTTCAAAGCCTCCGATCTTCCATAGACATAGAAAGCTGTTTCAACAAGTCACATTGGAGTCCGGTGCTGCAGCTGAGGCAAAGCCCAGTGTCTTCGATGAGCCCCTGTTTGCACACGCAGTCCTGAAACAGCTGGCTGAAGAAGTCATAATATAATACCTCTCTAGAACTGTAGCAAGAGCTTCAAATGAATGGTTCCTCTATGTTCCTCTTCCAGTTTGGGATTGGTTCCAGCCATTTCAGAAAAGACTCGTCTTCTGATGTGCCGCCCTGGAAAAGCGTTGTTCTCTCGTTGCACCTGAGCCATGCGAAGGCTCAACTTGCGAATGCCTGCTTGCCAATGCCCTCAAGGGGTAGGAAGTTTCTCAGCCAACAGCTCCTGAAGTACTATTGACATCCAAGAAGATGCTGCCAGAAAGTAAGAACCCACATCCCTTACAGTGTGCGTTCTGAAGTTCCTCATGTCCCAAGTTCCATCCAACCCCCCCGAACCGGCCGATCGGCCGGTTCGTTGCTCCGCGTCACGGCAGGGGAGTCCACATCAATTCCCAAGTCCGCCTTCAGAACTTTTTCGGAATCGGACCACCTCCCAGGACTCCTCTCCCTTACACAGCTGGGGGCCATTCGTGCCAGCCTTCCTACATCCACGAATCGACACAACAACATGGATCCCGCATGGGAGGGCAAAAACAACGACAAATGTTGCATCTCTGAGAGGAGAAACAGTCTTGAAGAAAACGCGGGACTTTGAAAACGCAGGGCATGCGCCACAAGCAGTACATTCGGGTGTGATTCCCCAGTGTGTGTCCTCTTTGATGTTGATGCGTAGCTCCAGATGGAGTAAACCCCAGACATGACATGAAAGCACAGGTCAAAGAAACAGATCAAACAATGGAAATCTCTTGATTTTGAGACACACTTCCAACCAGTTTCACATCTGGCCGAGGTCTCACACTTATTACAAACATCTTTAACTGATCGCTGCAACTGATCGTTCCTTGAAGTGAGACATTGGGTCCTTCATCCGAGGCACGGAATGCAACTGATCATTCCTTTCGCATCCTGATATGTTCCAACTCCACATGGATCACACCTCTGCTTGCCCCATTGCAAGTTGTAGGTGCCTCGTGCTCGTGCCCATGGGCACCATGGGCACACGCAGCAGGGCCCGGGCCCCAAAAATGATGAACAAACGGACTATATAGTGGCTACTCTTCGTCAAGCACACACCATCTTGGAAGGGATTGCCACTTGAAAAGGGTCACAAGTGCAAAGGCAATCTCCAAATCAAAGGGCAAAGCTTTGAACTCTTGGCCAACTTTTCCAACAATTTCCGAAGCAACATGACATCCTGAAGTCGTTAGAAGACAGTCGGCCTGCAGGGCATGGGTCACAGGCTTCAGTGGCGCTAGAGCCTTGGTAGTAGCCGGGCGCACAGGGCACACAAAGGTAGGTTGCACCATCTGCGTCCTCAGCACCGGGGGTCTTCGAAGTGTCACGCTGTGGACGAGACACCGCGCTGGCCCTGACATGACCTGTATCGACTCCACTGCCTCTGCCTTCCAAACCGCATAGCATGTATGTAAAGGTGAAGCTATAGATAAAATATGATAAAATGATAACATCTCTTTCGCCCTCAAGTTCCTTCAAAGCCTCCACCAAATCAGTGTTGCATCTCTTCCAGCCCACACATCAACATCTACCCATCTACCAGTACCTAGTCGCTCAAGTCCCAACAAACGTCTTGTGCCAAAGTGTCCAGGAAAGCTTCTGAGAATCTGCCTGGTGGACAGACTTCACCTCGGGGTTGACGCGGTCTCTCGAACGCGGGGTTCGCGAACCGCGGACCTGGACCTGACCTGGGACCATCGACCTCGTTGACCGGTGGCCTGTGACCCTTGACGCAAAAAGGAGAGGTGACACAGTTTGGACCTTCAAACCTGTCACTTCGGAGATGTCTCACCTCGCTACATCACATGTACCTTGTCTGGCCTCCGAGTTGTCTGGCAAACAGCTCTACAAAACGACAGAAACATACACATCATACACATGTTACATGTTGGGCTTGCTTTGTGAGACCCAACTTCCGGTTTAAGCACAACTCGCAGCCAGAATTTGCCAAGCTACAGTCGGTCGCAGTGGAGCGCGAAGTCAAGAAGGTACCGGTACTGTCCACCATCCCGAAACCCAAAAAGCAGTTGGAACTCACCGGTATCCTGGGTCGAGAAGTACGAGCAGCCACTAGAAGAAACTCCCTCCGGTCGGTGGCAGTGCGAGCAAAGATATTGACTAGACTAGACTATGTATGTCTATAATATATTATTATGTTATATTGTTATATAGTGTTTTGACTAGGGACTCTGGGTCTAGTCTCTTACTTCGTTAAGATCCCTAATCCCTGGCTCTAGCATGTTAGGCTTCCCCATAAAACTGTCTTCTAGAAATCTGCACCAACCTGAGTCGTTAGTCGTTGGTGCACGGCGTTGATTGCAGTTCTCCAAACACGGGCGCCGTTGGTATCTTTTGCCGTGTGATTTCAAAACTATATGATGTGCAGTCATCTTTCATGCGCAGTCATGGCATAGAAGTGCTTGTCTGGGTCTTTCTGACCACGAGGGACAAGAGTTTGTCTCAAGTCTGGAGACGAGGCGACTATCATCCGCGCTCATCCGTGGTAGGGAAACTAGACTGAAGCCACCTGGTTGAGAGCCCCATTTGAGACATCCCCATGCTTGAGAATCACCCCACTTGCAGGAGTAGTCATCTTCGTTGCTCTATAGAGTTGCCCACTGTTGCTCCGGCGGCCTCCACTGGGGTGCTATTGTTGAGATTGATCATCTTGAAACTATATAACTGTCTTGTGGATAACGTCATGCGTCATGCGCTGGGTGGTTGAATTATGTTTAAAACGGCCCAAATTGGGCCATCCCGGCCATCCCCCAACATCTCGCATAGATCCAGAAATGCTGCTCATCACGTTTCCGACCTGACCTGAGGTGCTGTAGCCCTTACAATATTCCCTGACCAACACATCCGCATCGAATCCCATGACCTATCATGATCGTATATTTAACTATATTTATGCATCGTTCTTATAACTGCTCGGGGTAACCGTGGCGGCCAGACTTTTCCCTCTTCCCTCAAAGGATCCAGGCCATCCAACGCTGGCGGTTCTCCTTAATCCAGTCGCAGGCCACCTGCTGTCCGCTGCGTTTAGCCTTTCGTCTCTGAAACTCGTGCAATTACTGGACCGTGTGTCTCATACCGGGTTTGGTATGAGTGATGCTGCTGATATATGAGAGTGATGAAGAAAAATAAATGGTGTAGCAGTTGCTTCAAATAATTCCAGAAATACCTGACCTTCTGAACTGGGTTGGTATCAAACATCCCATTAAACAACAAAAAGCATTCTGCCAGCATCATTCATCTCTAGCGGGGCGCTGCGCGAGCGGGGCAGGGCGAGCCAAACAAGGCATGTTCAACTGCCAGACACGTCGCCAAACGTCGGCATGCACCACCTTTCAACATGGACATCTTCACTTCTGGGAACGGCAGAAGTGTTTTCCAGCTGAAGAAGGGGGAAGAGAAGGAGTTCATGCTGTAGATGTTCTCTAAGAAGCTGTAGATTCATTTCTTCCAACTTACAAGAGGCTGTGTCATCGAAATGTCGAAGTGGCATCGTTCCCCAAATTCTCCATGGTCGCTTGTTGATAGGACTGCCACTCTCCGAGTGCCAATGCTCATGGTTCGAAGGGGATGGCGTTCGCAATCTCGCGAACATGGACGACGACTCCGCGTGTTTCTGGAGCGAAAACACCGAGTGAAGAGTTCGCACTGGAGGGGCTCAAACAGTTCGGACCATCAACGCGCGCCTCCTGGAAGGAGCTGGATCGAGTGGCCAAGAGAAGCTCCTGGGTCTCATCTAAGTTGAAGGACATTCGCGCCACAAATTCTTCCACCATGGGAGCCTGAAAGAAGGCGCGACTTCACCGGTCAGATACCAACAGGTGGTCGATCGGTCTCGGGTCTTTCTGACCGACCTCGGCCATGGGGGTCATTCCGCATGGCCCCCGCGAGATTGGGATTCGCAGAAGAGCTTCCATTTGGATTCGCTCTACACTGTAGGTGCTGTGCTTCTTTTGTTGTAGGTTGCCAATGGCTGTATACTCCTCCCACGAACAGTGTTGTCAACCAACAGGAATTGGAAAAGGGCAACGGTAATGGTCATTGCCTCGATTGCAAATATGGCTTCTAAACAGCCAAGTGCTCTCCCATTGGACCAAAATCAAAGAAATGGAAACGTGTGAGTCTGGGAGTTGCAAGAATAAAACTTGTAAAGATGTATGAAATACTGTCATCTACATTGTCGAGTTGAAATTAGCTTGAAAACAAAAGGCTCTACTCTACTGGAAGTTGACAAAAGGGTCAACTTCAGTCCAGTCACAAATCCTGCCTTCAGCTTCAAGTTGCTGCTGGCGGCCTTGTTCACATAAGCCTTACCTCGGCAGCGAGAAACCCTTCCAGACCTGGTGGATCCCCGCTCCTGCTCCAAGCACGACTGGGGATTCCCTCAACCCGTGACGCAATCCGAGTCAATCCGTTGGCGACATGGATTGGACCACGACTGGGGATCCTTTCTTTCAATCACGATCACATCTTCACCGTATAGTAAAGGCACCTACTTTGTTGGAAGCGACACCTGCAGTCACCTTGATGATTGGATCCTTAGCTTTCGCCAAGCTGCTGATGGCAGTTCTCTCATTTCCCTGAGCCCACTCGAAGGCATTGTACTCAGGGAAAATGATAGGACCTTGGCCGCCAATGATTGAGACTCTCGCTGCAAAACGGATGGAATTCCCGAAACACCGGAAACCCACGCAACACCCAGACGGACGGAACACCCTCCGGGTCCCGAACACCCACACGTCTCCAGATCCGTCGCCAGGAGACTGGGCTTCAAATGCACGAAACCCGATTCGGGAATCCACCAGTAGAAAATGGACTTCACGTCGCTGCCAATCTGGACCCATTCCTTGAAGATCACGACATCGCACGACATCTGAAAAAGGATCCGTGAGACTGTTCGGTGTTGAGATCATTGAAAACATCCAAATAGATGCACTTTGTGAATTGGGTGTAGGCTGTAGGTGGATTGGGCACAAGGTATGTGGGCAAAGTATTGGGTGTAGAAAAAATCACTGAGCCAAGCTAAGACACTGAGCTGTCTCTAGCCACACCAACCGCACAAGGCATGCCATATTCTGTGCACCACTGCATGATGGATTGTAGCTTCCAACCAGACCCTGCAGTAATGACAGGAATACCTCAGTTCGAGCCACTCCCGATCCTGCTGGTCTATCCTCTTCTTGGCTCCCCCCCAAGTGTTGACCAGCCGGACCCGGACCTGAGGTCACTGCTTGGCCAACTGCTACCTACAACAGCATCATCGACATGCTCCTGATTGGAATCACCCTGGAGGTGCTCACGTGAATTGACCTGATTGATTCAGCCTGGACTCAAAAGGGTCGAAAGGGTGGACTCAAAAGGTTAGATAGGTCGAGGACAGGACACTCATATGACTCATATGGGGGTGTATATGGTGACTTCATCGCCCACGCGATGAACTCGTCAAAACGAAGAGTGGATCTTTCCTGGACAAATCAGTCGACTGCCAGTTCACCTAGGGAGCGATTCACTCTTGCATGGGGGCTCGGACCGAGCATCAAGACCGGTCGGACCGAGCAATGAACATCTTACGTCGACTGAGGCACATGTGGATGAGGCGCTCCGACAACTGGGTGCCAACCACCAGAAGCCATCGTCACAACGTCCGATGTGTCCACCATTTACAGCCAGTAATCCTTCCCTGTCACCCGTCCAATGGAGATAGTTGGCCATGAAGGCCTCAGTCATTCCCAGAGAGAGAGAGAGAGAGAAAACTCAGTCATTCCTGTCTTTGAAGACTGCAAAAAAAGAACAACCTTCTGTAAGATGAGTCTCCAGATCAAGCAAATTGGTTTGATTGCAAGGCTTCAGAGAAGAACGATTGATGAGAGAAATCTCATCAAAATACCTCAACACGCAGCACAGTGGCTCAAAAAAGAATGTCCTTGCCTGCAAATACTGGTCAAAAGTAACATCTCCCACTCTTCAAAATGTCCAGGTATTGACGAATCCGTTGCAAGCGCCAACCCACATATGGGTGTTTTTTTCCTTTCATCCATCAACAGTCAACAGTGTGTGAAATATCAAACACCTTGTGTCGCTGCAGCCTTTTTGTAGCTATCTGATCGCCTACACCAACATAATATCACTTTCGTGTAGGTTAGGACCTCGGCCGAGACATTGATATATATATATATATATAATATATATATATATATGTTGCTTGAACAAACAACATAAAACAACTACATTTGACAAATCATCTGGGGTAGACTGTTTTGCGGGTACGTACTCACATATACCTCTCATCTCCTTACAGAGTCAATCACAACTAGTACTGTACCAATTCGATGGCGATGCCTTCCAGTACATGTGTTGCCCTCCTCCGACACGCCTTTTTTTTCGGAAAACGTTTTGCTGGTTGACCGTTTGGGATCGTGATGTGTCGTGTTGTAGCTCTCGTAGAAGACCAAGGATAGACCTTCTCTATCCGACGCCTCATCGCGATCTCTTTTGCTCACAAAGATCGACTCCTGGCGCGGAAGGCGCGGAAGGGGATCTGTCTCACGTCACCGAGTCGAAGGAGAAAGCGAAGCGACGTTCGGATCAGCGATTTCAGACGGAAAAAACCAGGGTAGAGGCGAACGAAGGAGCGAACGAGGCGTTCAATTGAGACTTCGATAGACTTCGAGATCGGAAGTTCGTCGTTTGCGGCAGGAAGCCTTTCCCTTCGTAAGCCTTTCATCAGCTCCTGGCCATCAAAGCCCATGCTCCCCAAATCCACCGGCGCAAGGTGAGGGTAACGCGTCGTCAAAGCCTTCAGGACCTTGCAAAAACGAAGTTTCATGGGAGCATGAAGAACTTGAACAAGAGGAAGAAGGCCCAGGTATGTATAATATGTCTACAATGTTCTACGTGACTTCAGCTGAAAACAGAAGCCGTGCTAATGCAGCGCTCGCCCGCTGTTCCTCTGAATCATCCAAAATCGGCTCTTTCCAACATGGATAGCGCACTCCTCTGCAGGCTTTGTGCCCAAACAACCTTCGGACTCATTGAAAACTCCACCCACCTTGCACAGTTATTGTTTACTTCGCGGAGACAACTTCTAGCGAAGCCCGGCTGGCCAGGAGTTCTTGTGGCAGCTGGAGGACCAGACTAAGAGATGCTGAGAGGCCTTCCAACATGAGACGGTCCAGGCTTCCCTCGAAGCGGGCAACCTGCCGACGATTGAAGATGATGAGGCCTCGCTGGAACTTCTTGGAGAAGAGGAGATGGATGGGGTGATTTTGCGGGGTGGCAAGGACTCAACATCCTTTGGTGGGGTGATCCAGGAAGAATTTCATGAGCGTGATCATCGACTCCACAAACCAGATCCTTAACAAGTGGGTGGTCGGCGGACTGAAGCGAGGATCAAGAATCTGAATGGACCAAGGAATCAACCTGGACTGGTTAAGGAGCCACTGAAGCCACTGAGGGCCGAGAAGAAAATGACCAGTGTGAACGAAGGAAGACTGAAGGATCATCGTTTCGGGGACTTTCCTGAAGGTGATAAGGGAAAGGGCTGGCTCGGCCAAATGTGGGCCGAGATGTACGGGAAATGGGCATGGTGGCTTGGCACGTTTAGATCGCGAGACCTGCTCCAAGAGGATGTTGCAGGTGAGGTCGTGGACTAGGTCGTGGAGGGTGACTTGGAGCGCCTTGGCTCGAGACAAGTTGGCGTATGACTCCACAGGCTAGGCCATGGCAAGTTGGGTTGGCTGGAGAGTTTCCTGCTGGCTGCGAGGTGATGAAAGTGATCGGAGAATAAGTTTAATGCTGTCGAGGAAATGGGATGAGAATAGATGGGGAACTGGCTCTGGACGCCAGAACAGACTTTTCGAGGAAACAGATGGAGACAGGCACCGCTTGAAATAGTTCCTATTTCCTGCAGGGCGACGAGCACTCTTGGGAGGAGGTGAAGGACACCCATGGTTGAAGGAGGCGATAGGCAAAGACCGCATACGGGGAAGTGGTTTGCAGCTGATCTCTTGCAGCGGCCAAAATTCAACAATGATGCACGCGCGACTGGTGTGCGGGCTGACGTTATTGCCTGCCTCGCGCGATAATCGGATAATCGCGATGTGAGTTCAGCCTGGGTCATCGGGGGGAGGTGATCAAAAGGCCAGACATGAGTGGTCCGGCATGAACAAGCGTCGTTGCTCTGGCTCTTTTTGTGATAGACGTACAAATTGGAAGCCGCACGGCATGTATTGAAACATTATTTTGGCACCCTTTCTGGCATATCTTCTGATATTCTTTATCGAAATTTTCTATTTTCTAACATGTTTCTGGCATATCTTCTGACATTATTTTGGCATTTCTTCTGACACCCTTCTATCTGGCATATCATCTTCTAACATTTTCTGGCATATCTTCTGACATTCTTTCTGGCATGTCTTCGGACACCACTTCTGACACCCTTCTCTCTGGCATATCTTCTGACATTCTTCTATCTGGCATATCTTCTGACATTCTTTCTGGCATCTCTTCTGACATTCTATCTGACATATCTGCTGACATTCTTTCTGACATTCGTTCTGGCATATCTTCTGGCATTCCTTCTAGCATTTTCTCGCATATCTTTTGACATTCATTCTGACATTCTATCTAACATATATTCTGCATATCTTCTGACATTCTTTCCGGCGTTCTATCTGGCATATCTTCTGACTGGCGGTTCAGGTCCGGCGGGGAAAACTGCCAGCCGAAGCTCGCGGTTGAGGTCCGGCGGGGAACACTGCCACGCGACCCTCATGGTTGAGGCCCGGCATGGAACAATGCCACGCGACACTTGCAGTTAAGGTCCGGCGGGGAACACTGCCACGCGACGCAGTTGAGGTCCGGCGGAGGAAAAATGTGTCAGGGGGTCTGACCATCCTGCAGTGACTGCAGTGACATCACTTAACCGTTGCAAAGGCTGGCAAATGTTGCTTTAACTACAATTAGGGCCCATGGGGAAGTGAAAGTACAACAGCAGGAGTTGATCAAACTCAGTATCCCGTGATTGCGGTAGCTTCGTTGAGTGCGGTCCCACAATCATGCCGCGCTCCCTTGCGGATTACCACCAAAAGGTGACCAATGGTTCCAAGCGTTACACACACACAGACACGCCCCCAACGTGTCTGGAGGCAAAAACTGCCTTTGCAAGACCGAAAGGTCACCTCTGATTCCAAGGTGTACACACACATGCCTTTGACGAGGGGAGGGGAAAGATATTTTAGGGGTTCTGCTGATGTGCACATGTGCGCGCAAAAGGGACCAGAAAAGAGGACACAACAAGACTGAGGTATGTGGTTGCTATGAAAGGGAAACCAAGTGCACAGGGGACAACCGATGAGCCAAACCTCATTATCAAGACCTGGGCCACCTGTAACCTATTTAACATGCAAAAGTGCACGTATGCACTCAGGGCCGGACCGATGTGCACACAAAAGAAAGGAAGGAGTGAATGACCAGACCTGAAGGCAGAAAAGACATGAAACGAAAGAGGAAAAGAGAGGTGCGTGGAGGGGAAAAAATGAGAGGGGAAGCAAATGAGAGGGCCGAAATTAAATAGAGCGAGCCCAGGTGGACCTCGCCTCGTTTGTGTAGGCTTCGGGCACACCCTGGCATAAAGCCAGACACACTCAGGAAATTAGACGCACGAATTGGAAGCCTCATGCCACACGCAAGCCTGGGTCAAAAATGCCTAAGTAAAGTGTGTCAGGGGGTCTGACCATCCTGCAGTGACTGCAGTGACATAACTTAACCGTGGCAAAGGCTGGCAAATATTGCTTTAACTACAAGAACCCCATGAGGTACAACAGCAGGTACGCCGAGTTGATCAGACTCGGCCGCGCTCCCTTGCAGACTAACACCAAAGGGTGACCTATGATTCCAAGGTGTACACACACACACACGTGAAAACTCATGAAAAACCTGTGAGCGCACTCCACTGCATGATGAAACAGAGTTCGCTCTCATCCTCCAATGAAACGCCAAGCGACACTGGCATAGGAGTAGATCCAGGAATCAACCATAATGTGAATCCTCGTCTCTTGCCTTAGTTCTGAGTCACCAAATCCTTCATGGCGAATGGCCAGGAGTCACGCTGCGAAAAAGGCTCGAGTCGTTGGGTGGGTCGCTCTTCTGTGCGGATCTTTCTCTAGAGAAAGTCTGAGATCATCTTTTGGGGGGCCGGATTGTACGTACGTAAACGCGCGCGCGCAACGGGGTTTGACCCCAGCAGAATCGGATTTTACCACACGTCTGATATGGTCTCGTGCGCAAGGGCGGGCTTGCCCAACTTCACAACATCCTCGTCATCGTTTTAGTATCGTTGTCATAGAATTGAGGCATCTTTTTCACATCATTGTCATTGGATTCAGAACATGTTCGTCGGCTCCACAACATTGTCATCGACTTCACAACATGGTCATCGACTTCACAACATTGTTGTCGGCTCCACACCATTGTCATCAACTTCACAACATTGTCAATGACATCATGTTTCTCGCCGTTCATGGTCTACCAGTATCAGCACCATCTCAACGTGATGATGTAGTCAGTTGATTTACCACACCCAGCTGAAAGTCACCTAGACATACCTAGACCAGTTATCTGCCACCTAGACCTACCTAGACCAGGTCTCATGGTTGTGAAAGCCTTTCGGGATCCGTCTCGGGCGTGTACAGAGAGTGAGTCGATTCTGTTGGGTGCCACCCCCGAGACGGACCTCGAAGCTGATAGCAGCTAGCAATTGGCTCTTCAGCTGAAACATGCTGAAACCATACCGTGCATGGGTCAAAAGGACATCATGTGGCCGTTTATAGGGTGATTTGGAGGCTCGTGTACCTTGGTAATGCTTTTGTTATGAGGTAATGCTTTTGTTATGTTAGTCTGTAGGTTTCGCTGATTTCCAGTCTAATGTTTCTATCTTGAAGTCCCAGCAAGTGTTGATCTGCCAAATGAAGATCCAATTCGTTCGGAATCGAACAGGTTGCTCGGAATCCTGGTACGTTCATGTGTTGGGAAGGTTTGGGATCCACTGCATCCATGCCGTTGGCTCTTTTTTGCATCTAACATCATCTAGCATCAAAGCTCCAAGTCCACGCGCTTCGACCATTTTGTCACCTTGAAACTTCTGCATGTCATTGTCTTGGACCTACTCTGGGGCTCACACTCTGTGATCGCATCCTTTGGTTTTGATCTGAGTGGTTTGCGGATCGAAGACACAACAGTTTCGCAGACTTCTCGGTTGCGTTGCTGAACAAGTCGATCATGCTCTCATGTTACCAACAAGCAGACGGCGGGTATGGACCACTTGCGAGCTGAAGAAGAGCACGACACAAAGCATCAAATACTTTCATAAACAATCGGTTAGCATATTCCTTCAAGCCTGGGCCTATCTTCTGACACTGGACAATTTGACTTCTATCAAGGACGCTAGGAAAACCAGGGCATCGCGACTGGAACGGAGCAAGGAGGGGCTCCTGGCCGAACGGAGGAACGTTCGGACGCGACTTGAACGGAGGAGCTCTTCTCCCAGCAGATCCAACGGTGCTGGCACAGCCGATGGACGGGGAATGCGAGAGTCTCAGTCAAGAGGAAGGAGAGAAGCAGTGCCAGGCACATTCTGGATGAGAACCGGAATCAAAAATTGAATCAATTAGACCATGTAAAGAATTGTAAAGAACTGGCAACCAAACACCCAAACCACCAAAAAGGGATGAATTGTCTCAACTGCCTTGAACATTCTCTCCCTTCAAGTAAGGAGCAAAGAGTCCGCTACCAACGCACATCTTCTCCCGCAAAACTATCAGCTCTCACAGGCGCTTGGGACTGAAGATGGCAAGAAAATGAGGGACTATATAGATGGGACTAGTAGCTTGACCCTTTTCTCCAGTTGAGGATCCTTCTTGCGCATCTCATTACAGGTACAACTTGATACATCTTTCACTCGCACCTCGAAGCCATCGGTTCATTCACCCTGTTCCAAGGGGCTGGTCGCAACCTCTCTCTGTCTCGGAGCCCAATCCATTAAAGTCTCGACAGCCCCCAAGGGCATAAATGGAGTTGGAGGAAGAATCACCCACCACTGGGTGCTCTTCAGCATGATATCCCATGACCTGACCGCATGTGAGCGGAAAGAAGTGTCCAAAGAAACGCATGGAACTTGGCAGATGGGAACCTGCGGGGCGTCGTCCGCCGCTCCTTTCGTTGGGAAGTGGCGCTCCTTTGACCCGTCATTCGTCCATCTTGCCTCTTGGAGCAGGATCAAGGCCATTCGCGTAAAGAGGTGGGAGGAGTCCCAGGCGCAAATAAAGAGGCCTGGTGCCGGTCACCGATTCAACGCTGCTTGGTGCAGAAATGCACCCCCGTTGGCCCTCGCCTACTGGAAGATCTTGGCCATCATTGTCCTGCACAAGTTCTTGGAACTTGGAACAGGTCTTTCAGGTTTCTGCCGGCTTGGAACTGGTGCTGAAAAAGTATTTTTGAACCTCGCCTTCATCCACTGGCGCTGCTCTGGGGGGATAGCATCTGGAAGGCAGGTCGGATTTGATGCCGCCAGTCCCAGGATGAATCCTACGCACCAGTGCTGCAATCGAAAGCGACTACATAGGCCAAATCTCATGAGCAGAACCTGGCGGACACGCGCGAAGTGCGGAAAAAAGGGCGACAAATCACGTCACATATTGTCACATGCATCATGCATCACAATGGGTCATCATATATCATCATGAATCATTGAATCATGCATCATCATGCAAGTTGTATGCTTGCGCCAAAAGCATCCAAAAGCTGATCCCCTGGAGAATGCACATGAGGACGCACGTCAAGTCAGCTCTGGAGATACCTACCCATAGCGAGATGAAACCCCACAGCACCCGCCACACCATCGGTGTTGGATAGTTTTGGTGAACGAAAATCGACCTGGGGGAGGGCAACCTACTTCAAGAATCTTCAAGACCGGGAAGAGGGTGGATTGTGATTTCGGAAACAGCACGTCTGGGAAAACGCACGTTCCCAGAACACTCACTGAGAGAACACTCTCAAGGGTCTGCACTTCGAAGATGGAGTGGATTGTTCCCTGAAAGATACGTAAGTAGGTTGATCTTCTAGCTCTGCCGCAAAACCCAAACAAGTCCCAAAGTCTTCCAAAATCATTCCGGCAGCCGAAAATGTCTTGCGGTCCCTGGCCCCAAGGCGTTTCAGTGAACGCCTAATTACATCTTGTGAGATGGGCAGCGCAAGACTGTGCTGTGGGTTCCTTCGATTTGGACACCAGAAGCCCACCAGCCTCGAGGTTCCATCCACACGGGCCCAACAAACCCGAACTGGACAGCCCCCGGAGCCAGCACTTTGCGTCAGGACAAGTGAAGGAACATGCAGGGTGCTTTCAGGCTCTCGGGTTGAAGTGTTCCTTTCGATAGCTTCAAATGCCATGAGGTCATGACGAGTCGGCCTCAGCCCCTAAAGCGGGCGTCCGATCGCTCCGTTCGTAGTAAGGCCATTCCTAGTTCATTGTTAGAACCTGAATTCACCAGCCAAATGCTTGTCCAACCTCGACGTATCGAACTGCTCCTGTGCTCCAAAGAAGGGCTTGGGCGGCAGAGCCTGGCGCGGCTCCGTGAACAACTCCTCTTCCGGCGATCATTCTATTGCGCCATCCGCAAGAAGAGACCAACACGTGTGGTTGCAGGCAAAACCCGTGCAAGTTTAGGGTATGTTACACATACATACATGATACTCTTTGGAAAAGTCTGTGTAAATGGAATTGATATCGTTGGAGGCGGGTTTAGTTTACCTATCCAGAGTCGCCAGTAGTTATTTCACTCTGAGATGCTACTAGTAGCTCCTGGCCTTACTACTAGGAGATACACTAAGAATTGCGTCACAAAGCCTGTTGGACTGTGCAAGGCCTGCCGCTCCACCCGCCTGTGCCCCAGCGTCTGGTGTTGGTGGAGCTGGGTTGGCGATGTCCCTCGAACAGTGGTCGAAGCTCAAAGACCTCTAGTAGCGTTCTTGTTACGTTTGTAGCAATGCCCCTTGTTGCTAGTAGCAAGAATGGCTCCATTCGTAGTAAGGCCAGGGGAGCCCCGTTCGTAGCGACGCCGAAGGGAAAACGAAAGCGTTGTTCGTTGACCGATGTCACCCTCGCCGGTGCGAGCTCAGCGCTGGCGCTGGCTCGTTTTGAAGAATCCAGTGGTTTAGACTCTAGAGTGGACCTTCTCTGAGCCGAGCGCCATTTCATGTGATTGCAGTCTATGTATGAATCCATCTAGTTTCGAGTGAAAGTCTGCAGGGCCGAGGGCTTTTGAGGGCTATGGATGAGAGCAGTCTTTGCATGGATATTTGCAATCGTCCCTTTGGTGGGGGCTGGGTACCAAGCTGCTAGGCTGCTATTCAGTGGCTCCTATGGCTCACTGCGTAGAAAACGGATGTGAACCCAAGCCGGCGGTTGGAGGTCGCAAGGGAACGGGAGGGGCCATCTGTCCATCTTGGATGAATCAGGACAAGTTCATACAATATCCCGGCCCGGCGAGGGGCCAATTTTGAGCACCCCGCTCTATATCTGCCCAGTCGTCATGAATGTGGTGTTTCCTCACCTGGAGAGGTGATGGCTGTGCTGCTCCAGGAAGGTGTGGCCCAGTGCTGGCGTGCCTGCACGAAGGGGGGATTGTCAACTTCAATTGGCCCTGGTTGACCACCGATGAACAGACTAGACGACCTGGGAGGTCAACCAACAAGGGCCAACGGGGCTCTGGGTGCCCACAGAGCAGATTCCATCAGGAACTCTACTGACCGATTCAGCTGTGGGGCTTCCGAACCCCGTCCGTTTGGCTCTCATTTTTCAGGGCATCATGGAGCATGGCTTCGAGAATTTGCCTTCCAATCTTTCGGGCGGGAGGCCATCCCTACTAGGGTGGAGGCCATCAGAGTGGAGGCCATCGCCATTAGGTTGGCCACCCAAGACACGCGCTGAGCCTGCCAGTGCCAGAAGGGTGACCAGAGACTTCCTCAGGCTCAGCGATCGAGCAGATCGTGGAGCGACCGAAGAGTTGGGGAAGTCGGGTCAATCGACGTGGATCTGAAGCATGATCCGGCATCCGACGCTCTCGATGCAGGATGCAGGAAGTGGCAAGAAGCTTCGAAAACGACGTGCGAAGAACCAAGAAGTCTCACTCCTGTAAGCTTCTGGCTATAGAATTGTATCTTTTCGACCAAGAAGTGCGTCCTGCCCACAGGGGATTGTGGGTTCCTTCAGCCCGGGATTGTGAACGCCGTGAATGCAGGATGCATGGTCCCCTCTTCCACAAGGCCGCGGCTTTGGGGTCTTAAGCTCTCTTCTGGTTAGTACCCCACATTCTCAACACGCCTTGAAGATCTTGCGGACGGCAACCTCCCAAACCTGACACCTCCTCAACCTCACGTGGTTTTTGTTTCCTCCCACGAAACGCGGGCCCTGAAAAGAAACAGTGGACACCGGACACCATACGTTTCAAACCCGGAGCCTCTGTACTATACGATCCAAGGGACATTAGTCCGAGCGCGCCGCTCGAAGAAGTTTGGGCCGGCGCGGCTGCAGCAACTTCAAAGTCCTTTCTTGAACCCTAAAGTCCTTCGGGTAATTTGTATCAGGAGTGTCTAAGATTCGCAAACTGCTCTTTAGGGACCGCCTATGTGATTGAAAAAGGAACTCAAGAGTCTGTTGGGCTTCACAGGGGGAGTGTCTTGGGTGAAGATCTCTAAAGAAGCCACTCTTGCAGGCTTGAGAATAGAGCCACAAAGATCACAAAGTCACTTTGCAAGAATGGCCTAGTCGATTGACGTGTCGCTGGTGAACTGAGAAAGAACAAATGGTAAGTCAACGCATGGCCACGGATAGTATTTCTCATCCAGTGAGGATTTGTTCGAAGAAATGCACCGGTCGTGAAGCTTCTGAAACGAGTGAAACGCGGGTCAGGGAGTCGCATCGCGAACACAAGTTGCGGTGCCGCACGTCGGGGCTTACCCCGAAGGAAGACACAAAACGCACAAAAATAGTTCATACGAGTAGATTGATGATCTTTGGTCGCTCCGACGCACGAGGGATGCGTCATAGCCACTAGAGTCACTAGACCATACCGGCCCTCTTAATTCCTGACGGTGTCTCTTTCTCTCTCTCCCTCTCTTTTGCATGGTTTTTCCTAGTTCAAGCCCTGGGTTGCTGGATGCTTTTACAAGAACTCGGCAGCTCGCTGCGTCTGCGGCGCCTGCGGCTTCCGGTCGTGTGTGGGACTTTGCCACCACGGCATTTGCGAGACCTGGCAGGGCATCTGCGGTATATCGGTATATCTATTTGCCTACCACTTGCGACCTCCTGCTGCCAGGAAAACACAGGCTATAGTGGTCCCCAAATAGAAAAGATGGCACGGCTTCCAAAACATCTTTTACGTGGGGATCTACTGTTCTATCATGTTCTATCTATTTGGGGGCCCATATACAGAATGATACAGAATGTGAAGCTATCAGAGGATGCATGAAAACATCGTGACTGACGAAGGGGTCACAAGCAGGCAATGCTCAGGTGGCACTGACTGCATTGCGTTGCAAATGTTCAGACGGTGTTGCTGAGGTTGGTAGCACTCATGGGAGACAACATGTTTGCTTGTAGATGCGTCAAAGTTATTGTTTGGTATTTTGTTGTTGCAAGTGTGATGGCACCGTAGGTGCCACAAAGCAAGGACTTGCTTTCGCCTTATTGACAGCCCCATACAACCCCCAAGCTTGGCTGCGTTGTTTCGAACAGCTCCTTCCTTCCATGTGCCTAACAGGAAGAATGTAAGCAAAATGCGCCAACCCCGGTCTAGGCCGATGAACGTGAGCGTGAGCGGAGCGGGGCCAGCGTGTTCCTGTTGAAGGACTCTTGTGAGCGGTGGGCGATGTCACGCTGCCATCACATTGACGAACACTTGCCAACAAATTCCCGCTTCAATGACATTTGTCTAGATTCTTCTCTTGTGCGGGAAAAGCGTTGCGCAGCATTTGGCACCGGGTTCGGGCCCCCTGCGTTCGACTCCTCCCTCACCCCTTGCTGCGCGGCATTGGGTGCGCCGAACGACGAGAAAAGAAACCGAACGACGTGGATAGTGGGGCATGCAAAGTGTCGGAGAGCTTCTCCGGCGTGGGCCGCGTGGGTGTGGCTTCAATTTCGATCTGCTAAAGAATGGCGGGAGTTGAGGAAACAGCAGCTCAAAGTCGGTTGTTGAAGAGTCCCCTGTATAAACACACATATTCATATTGGCATATTGGACATGCATGAGATGGAAGCACCACAAAAGGATAATCTTTGCAAATGAGTTCTAGTGCGAGATATTCCAACATCCATCGATCAAAAGGTTGATGAACCATGATGAATTAAAGCACGTTCATGACGCTCTATCAAACCAGGAGGGAAGTCTCATCTTCCACAAATTGTTCCACCACTTCTAGACCGCTCTACCACCCCTCTCAGGGGTCGGCGGGCGGCGGGCAGCGGGAGCTAGCCCCCTTAAACAATGCGTTGGTGAACTGCTTTATAGCACCGATTTCAAACCCACAGAACCCACAAAACACCACCCACAGGCGCCGGTGGAAACACGAAGAAAATGAAGCAAACCTGCAAGCACCACTAAAAGTCTCAACCTTCAGTGTGGTATTCTGATGTTCCAATTTTTGAGAAGAAGAAACGACCTAGAAACGAGCAAAACAACAACCTGAGAGCTGGGTGTCATATTCCCCGACCTGAGAGCTGGGTTCAGCAAGCACCTGTTCACCATCCAAACACACCAGACAGGACACGCTCAAACAAAGACCTACCATGAACCAAGAATATGTTTGGAATATCAAATGGCCCAACTGCCAACCCAGTGAGTAGCTTCTTGTTACTAGTATGGCCAGGAGCTACTATTTATGTGCCCTTTGTTCCTAGTAGTTTCTTGTTACTGGAGCAAATCTTGACCTGTAAAGCAGGTCTGATACCCGATTTCCCCGCCTGGATCGCATGCTCCTCAGCTTCGGGGAGGACTTTCTTCCGACGGAGCCGACCGGTCATGGGTGGGCGGCTTTGTGGGGCCGTACTGACCTGGTTGGCAGCGTTTGTAGCGTTCAAATCAACGGCTGGAGGCCGAAAACGAAAAGCAAAGCTCTTTTTGGAAGGAAAATGCTTTTGGGCCGAAGCGCGAGCTGGCGGCGAGCGATAGAGGCGAGCTGCCAAAGATTTGTATGCTGTATCTTGCCCAAACAGGTGTTCGGCCGGGAACTTCTCTCACTCATATTCAGCTGTTCTTCTGAACTTTACATAAGTGGTGAGCTGACTCTCTTCTTACTCTCCCGCGTTTTCCCACGCATGCGCTCCTTGAACGCATCCTTCCACTGCTGAGTGATGTCCGCGTCCTCGGTCGCTGCTGTGCGCTCCCAAAATGCCAACTGTTTCACTGAGCGCTCCAAGAAGCGGACCCCAACCGAAGATGCAACATGTTTAGTGCACAAGTGCTCAGTGCTAAGTGTAGTGCACTTTGAGCAAGCTAGGCAAGAACACTTAGAGCAAGAAGACGAGAAGCACCCTTGGGTACATAGAACACTTCTTGAAAACTCTGTGTCCTTGAATATCTGGAATGCCATCGCAGTTGCCAATAGCTGCGCAGCCAATACTACTATCACTGCTCAGCAAGAGGGCCAATACTACTATCTGGAGAGGGCCACTAAACCGAAAGAACAAAACTACCAACCCATGTAGACACAACGCTTAATTTAGGGTCTTTTGTTGCATTCCTTTTGAGGTGTGTTTGCCTTTCTGGTCTAATTGCTTTACTTCTTTCTGGAGTTTCGGCTTTGGATACGCAGAAGTTCGAAATGCCAAGGGTGCATCGAAACAATTGCAAGTCAGACTAAAGAATTTCAGCCCTGTACTTCTATTTTGTCAATTGCAGAGAGTGCACACCCAAAACACAACACAAACAACTGGTTATCTGGGCCCAGGCGATTTCTGAACAAAAGAGAAATGGAGGAGGCTGGGTAACTGTCACGACTCGCTGATGCATTTGCTGGCACTGGGTGAACCCTCTGCCTCGCGAAGTGTGGATGAATTGAAAGAAAAGGAATCTGGAAGGTGGTTGTTTCAGAAGTTCAGGACAGTAAGGGCAGTGTTCTTCTTTTCTGGGTTCTTGTTCTCTCCATTTTCACAACAGGATCGCTGCCAAAGTGCTGAGCCGGTCTTGACTAGGCCCTTCTTGCAGTATTGGCCGTTCTGGCAGGAGGTGCGAAACGCGAACACAACGGAACGGAAATGCAAAGGACGACGCACTGTGGTCGTAGTGGTTGCGGCTGATTCATCTCAAGTGGTTCCTAGTGGTTCGTGCAGTGCTTCGCAAAAGATTCCTGCCGGTCTAAAGAGAATAGTGGGCGGCCGGTCTAGACGGGCCACCTGCAACCCATTCCACTTCGAAGACAGCGAGGCTATGCATGGCTACAAACTTTGCGAGCCAGCTTGGTTTGTAGATTTGATGCCCCGCCTGGTTTAGCAGTAGGGGCTCCTGGCCTTACTACTAGGAACAAGGACGCTACTAGGGGCTCCTGGCCTTACTACTACGAGCAAGGACGCTACTAGGGGCTCCTGGCCTTACTACTACGAGCAAGGACGCTAGTAGGGGCTCCTAGCCTAACTACTGATGCCCTGCTTGGTTTGTAGATGTGATGGCCCGCTTGGTTTAGCAACAGGGGCTCCTGGGCCTTACTACTAGGAGC